TCTGAGTTTTTGAATTATGATTTGAAAAGAGAAAATTTGTTTGGTTATAAGTTTTGAAAATAGTTTTGGGATGATTTGTAATTTTTTAAATTTTTTTTTATTGATATATAGAATATGAGAGAAAGTAAGAGAAAAGAGTGAAAAAATGATTGATTAATTGAGAAGAGAGAATAGATGAGCTTTGAAAGTAATTTTGAGTTGTAAAAAATGATTGATTAATTGAGAAGAGAGAATAGATGAGCTTTGAAAGTAATTTTGAGTTGTATTTTAAAAATATGTTTCGTTAACATGTTACATCCAAGTCATGATTTAAAAACAGAGTTGAATTTTGTAAAGTAAACCAAACGCTACCTTAGTTTCTCCATATCACATTTCTTAATCTCTAGATCATGACACGATCTATATATATATATCTTACAATCTTGCAATGATAGTGATGGAAGTTTTGTGAAGGAGGTTGTAGTAGCGGTGATGGTGGGTTGAGCGAGCTTTGGAGATGAAGGCAATGGCAAACAGAAAAAAAGAAAGGTATGGGTAGATAAGTGGGTTAAAAGACGATCGAAGGGGCTGAGAAAATAGGTTGGACTAGAGGAGAAATGGCCAATTGCAGCTGAGAGATGTGGGGGATAGATAACCAATAACATTTGGAAATAGTAAGGGAAAGGTAGTTGCTGATCGAAAAAATATGGGAAAAGAGGACGAAAAAATAGAGAGAATTATAAAAAATATAGGAGAGGCAAAAATATACACTGAACCATAATTTTGCAATATATATTTTAAATTATTTTTATATATTGTGCAAATATTTAGGGAGCTTTTTTAGTAAATACCATTCTTAAGACTTATGTTCCATCTAATTCATATTCTTCTTGAGTATTCCATTAGGTCTTGTTTAGGTTAATATGACCAAATCAACATTCCAAACTTTTTGCACGTGTTTCTATTTTGAAACCAATATACAATAAAATAAAATAAAATAAAAATAACAAGAGTCCCTAATTTTAGAGAAAAAATCTCTCCCTCATTTCAAAAAAAAATATCCCCTTATTATATGGAGAAAATCTCTCCCTTATTCTAGGAGAAAATCTCTTACATTCTAGGATTAAAAAAGGAAGAAGAAAAGGAACGTATGACAAAGACAAAATCAGCTAATAAATAGTCCAAATGTTATCAAAGAAAAAAAATGCATGAGCAGATGATTCAAAAATATCATTTAACCTGTAATGAACTGCATTTAAATCAACACAATATTATCAATATTATCCCCTCATGGAACCATACACATGAGTGTGTGAACATTAAGATGGGTGCGACTACCTATTTGTATTACAGAATTAATGTGAACATTCACATCTCTATGTACACTACGTTTGTAACCAAAATAACACATTGTTGTTTATCCTAGTACTACTATTTTTTAATGTGAATATTAACATTAATTGTAATTTGTGAGTAATGCATTGTTAATATTTTCATGTTGTTTTGCTATTATAGAAACACTAAGAACATTCACATTGTTGCTAGTTGCTTGTTATTATATACACATAACCATTGATTTAGTGTGCATTGTGGTAAATGCAATGTTGATGTGAACATTTATATCTCTATGTTGTACTGTTCAGATTACCAAATGCAAAACATTAAAATTTGATAATTCACAACAACAATTACTTCAATGGGTGTGAACGTTCATATTCACTGAAATATCCAACCAATAAGACACACTATAACACCATATCAATTTATCTGCAAACCTTAGTTGGATTCTATATACCACAAGACACTAATCAATTTTCACTAATTTCACAATACATCCTACAAATTTCAACTCTTCTCAACATTTTTTACCAATTTCAAAAACACTTTCGGCTTCAATTCTCAAAAAACTATATATACACATATATCTCTACTGAATACACACACATACGCAAACAGAAAAATCAATACACACACGCAGACAGAAAAATCAATTACCACAATGATGAACTCATGAACAAATTGGGATTTTTGGGATGAGGTTTATCATAGAATGATCCGATCTCAAACTACAGAGTACAAGCCTTGTTAAAGTGTTACTGCAATCTAAATGAAAGTATACTGGTTTGGATAGGGAATTAAGCAAAGAAATTGAAGAATTCATAAGAAAATCAAAATGGGTTTGGTGAGAAAAATAAGAAAATTGATTTTTCAAGCTTGGATTTGGTTCGATTAGAGCGATAACTGTAGAATAGAGCATCGATATATATATATATATATGAACCCAAGGGTGCTGTGACTTAGTCACAATAGCAATCTACTGTGCTCCCGTGGTGGATTTTTTCGAGTCTTTTTTGATGATTTGATTGTAGGGTTTGTTAAATAGATCATCCATGCAAAAAATCAAATTAATTGGAAATCTATAACTTTATAACAAGAGTACATTTGTTTTTTAAAAAATAAATGGTTAACATTATCTAGATAATTTTTGTAAAACAATTTAAATATGATCATAAGGTCACAGATTTCTGATTAACTTGATTTTTGATATGGATGATATACTCGATGAACCCTACAATATAAACGGTTCAGATCATCAAAAAAATTCAAAAAAAGCCTCCACGAACTCATAGCAGATTGCCGTTGTGACTTAGTCACAGTAGAAGCCCCAGGTCTTATATATATATATATATGGAAATGAGAGAGAGAGAGAGAGAGAGAGAGAGAGGAAACAATAATGCTTGGGACCCCCTTTTGGGGGTCACCCCCTCACCCCCCTTTGCCACGTGGCAGGGGGTGATTGGAGGAGCAGGAAAAAAAAGAAAAAGAAAAAGAAAAGGTAACCAATGAGAGAGAGAGGGGGTCAAAGGGGGTGGGAGGAAAAGGGGGGATGAATCATTACTCGAGTGGAAAACATATATTACATATTATCAAAATAAAATAAAAAGGTATTATAGTTCTAAAAAAATTATAAATCAGAAAAAAAAAAGAAAAAGGATCTTATGTGATAAAAATCTAAACATATTGGATTTGATGGAACACTAAAAAAAACTTTATAGCATCTCCAAAGCACTAGGCATATAATGCTTGTTAGGTAAAATGCCTAGTATGACTCACTTTTTTTAACTCCAATGCACTAGGCATGTGATTAGGCATTTTAGCTCATCTCACATTTACTAGCTACATGTAGCTAGCCTTTAAGACTAGGCAAAATGTATTTAATCATTAGGATTATTTCCCTCCATCTTTGTTGCTGATGTGGCATTTTATAAAATTAATAGTATTTGAACGAATAGCTAAAATAAAGAGCATGGTTGGAGCAGAAACATGAAACAATTGATAGGCAAAATAAAATGTATACTTTATAGTAATGTTTAGATAGGTAAAATGCCTATTACCGTTGGAGATGCTCTAAGTCAACTAAGTAAGATTTATAAATAAACCCCCTTATTTAAATTCCCACCAATTATTATTATTATTTCTTCAACTTTTTATTTTTCTTGCAATTTCTCCATTTATTAATTCTATTAGTAAATTTTAACACCCACATTGGATGCCACGCGAAACACGTTCTAAAAAATACACAATGATATAATTTTCATGGTAAAAAATTCTGAAATTAATTAAAAAAATAATAACAACAACAACATTATAAATTTATCCTTATCAATTCAAAATTTATTTTAAAAAAAATAATAGTTTAAATTTACTTTATTCATAAACTTCTTATTTCATTAATTTAATTCCTACCACACAAACAAGTGAAAGTTATGAATTCAGTTCCTAACATTTTAAAAAACGAGAAAAGAAAAGAAAGAGCGTTATAGATCTTAAATAGTTTATTAATTTTTTTACTAAACCAAATTTTTTACTAAAGTTCTCGCATGGATATAAGATCTATATAAACTCACATGTGTATGAATTTCACACGATATAAGAGGTTTAGTAAAAAATTTAATAAATTACACGTGGCAGGTGGTGATTGGAGGAGCAGGAAAAAAAAGAAAAAGAAAAAGAAAATGTAACCAATGAGAGAGAGAGGGGGTCAAAGGGGGTGGGAGGAAAAGGGGGGATGAATCATTACTCGAGTGGAAAACATATATTACATATTATCAAAATAAAATAAAAAGGTATTATAGTTCTAAAAAAATTATAAATCAAAAAAAAAAAAAGGATCTTATGTGATAAAAATCTAAACATATTGGATTTGATGGAACACTAAAATCCTTTATAAACATATTGGATTATAAGTCAACAAGTAAGATTTATAAATAAACCCCCTTATTTAAATTCCCACCAATTATTATTATTATTTCTTCAACTTTTTATTTTTCTTGCAATTTCTCCATTTATTAATTCTATTAGTAAGTTTTTACACCCACATTGGATGCCACGCGAAACACGTTCTAAAAAATACAAAATGATATAATTTTCATGCTAAAAAATTCTGAAATTAATTAAAAAAATAATAACAACAACAACAATATAAATTTATCCTTATCAATTCAAAATTTATTTAAAAAAAAATAATAATTTAAATTTACTTTATTCATAAACTTCTTATTTCATTAATTTAATTCCTACCACACAAACAAGTGAAAGTTACAAATTCAGTTCCTAACATTTTAAAAATAGAAAAAAGAAAAGAAAGAGCGTCATAGATCTTAAATAATTTATTAAATTTTTTACTAAATCAAATTTTTCACTAAACTTTTCACATGGATGTAGGATCCATATAAACCCACATGTGTAAAAAATTTCACACGATCTGAGAGGTTTAATAAAAAATTTAATAAATTATTTACGTCTCTAGCATAATTGAAAAAAAAAAAAAAAAAAAAAAACCAAAATAATGACAATAGCTGCCCCAAAAAACTATGAAAGAAACAACAGGGACACACCCCATTAATCACAATAATCACAAGTTGACAACGCATCATCACTGAGAAAGCAAGCAAGAACCACCTCCAATTCGGAGTTGGGCCACAGAGAGAGAGAGAGAGAGAGAGAGAAAGAGAGGGAGGGAGGGAAAGTAGAGAGAGAAATGCACGGCTTCAAGTCGGCATCTCTAATCAAGCGTTGTCTTCGCAGCTCTAGCTTCATCTCTGGCTACTGCAGAAGCCTTGGCTCTCTCTCCTCCAACAATGCCCTCAGCGATGATCTCGACGGTATTGTGAGTTCTCTCTCTCTCTCTCTCTCTCACACACACACACACACACACATGCCCCTTTTTACTCTCTCTTTAAAACCCCTCTTATCTCTTTGAACTGTTTCAGGTTCTAGTTGAAGGGAAAGGTTGGTCCAGAACTGCAATTCTCAATAGACCCTCTGTTCTCAATGCCCTCAACACTGCTGTGGTCTGTTTCTTACCCCTTATATCTCTATACAATCTTTTTGGTATCTGCTTGAAAAGATTTTAATGTAAACAAAATTCAATAAAGACCCGAAAATGTGAATAAATTTATTATAAAATTTATCTATATTGTTTCTTACTAAGTATGTTTCCCAAGTACCCAAAAGTTTCACCAAGATATCTAAGATTTATGGATGTATATTGTACGGGAGAGAAATATTCGTCTCGCTCCGTACCTCCTTGCTTCCAAGCTCATCGCACTTCCTTAGAACTTTGTCGTACGGTAAACAAAACAAAGGTGAGCTATCTGGAGGGTGGGTTTGTCGGAAAACCCCTCCGATGGTTAAGTTAGCTTGCCGGGAGAAGAGAGAAGGCGGAGAGCACGAGAGAGAGAGTTGCACCAAATTGCTTACCTCCAACGTCTGTATGCTCCTCCTTTTCAAGGCTGGCCATGCAGCCTCAGAAGTTGTGGGTGCACTACCTCTGCTGTCCTTCTCTGGACAGGCAGTTGTGCTCCCCTATACACGTCTAACACGTGTAGAGACCAAAACCTCTAAACAGTGTTTGTCACACCGCCAAACGGTATTGATGCATACCAGGAGTGGGTTTCTTTCTTCTCTTTATTGGCCCACATGGAATTCCCGACCGGGCTATTACTTGCAAACACCTCGCATTGCGTCGACCCCTTAATGCTGGGCTAAATCAGACCGGTCTATCAGGAGTAATACGCTCAGACAAAGCCCTGATCGCCCGGCATAGACCGAGGGTAGGTGCACTGTGCGATATCTTGGCTGCACACCGTGATCCCAAGGACCGCCTGCCTCGGTGATAGTAGACCGAACAGGATGCAGTTCGGTCGTCACATGACTCCGCAGCCTTGGACCTCAATGCTGGGGAAGTGGTGCCTACTGGCTAATCCAGCTCGCCCGTGTTCGGTTGACAAAATATTCTGTGTGAATCTAGCTCGGCCCAACACCATATTCTGTGCTGGTCCAGCTCGGCCAAACGCATCTTGGACAACCGTAGTCTTGCACCAGCATTGCATCTAGCGCGGACCCAATCTAGCCCAACGATGTGGCCCAGGTTCTTCTCGCCCGACCCAACACCACATTCCGTGTTGGCTCAGCTCGGCCCATTGTTTGGCACAAATCTCCCTCTCATATATATATACATATATATATCTCTTCACACAAAACTATATATAATACACATGAATATAAATTCAATTATTCATTTAGGGGTTGTTTGGGGTGTCCTAAATAAGTGCACTTTTTGTCTTTTTGGACTAAAAAATTGAGGAAGAAAATATGGATGTTTGGGTTAACTTTTTGACTTTTTATGAAAAAATGTGTAATAAAAAATTGTAAAAATTGATTTGTAGGAAAAAATTTGAATTGGGAGTTGTGCAGCTGGGAGTTGTGCAACCGTAATTGTTGACTTTTGGTGAATAGTATTAACTTTTTAACTTTTTGAGTAACTTTTTGACTTTTTGGCTTTTTTCTAATATGCCAAACTTGGCCTTAGTGAGGGATGTCTCTAATGTAGAGGAGTTAGTGTCGTTACTGGGTTGTAAGGTGGAATCCTAGCTAGTTACTTATCTTGGTTTTACTTTGGTATGACCCTTTTTAAGGCAAGGAATGTTTGGGACTCTTTATCATTAAAAGATTTCGGAGGCATTCGGCATGATGGAAAATGCAATATTATTCAAAAGCAGAAGACTTACAATGATTTAGAGCAACTTGTTAAGTTTGCCTACTTATTTCATGTCTTCAATAGCATAAAGGTTTGACAAACTGCAAAGGGATTTTATTTGGGCCAGAGCAAGGGACAAGTTTAGGGGTTAGAGGCTTGCAATTTTTTAATCACAATCGTGCTATGTAGCTCGAAAAACCAGGGCTCGAATGGCCCGATTTTTATTTTATTTTTTTCGTTTTTCCTTTCCCTTCCTTGCCTTCTACACAGTTTCCTCTCTCTCTCTCTCTCTCTCTCAAACATGACTAGAATGAAGTTCCAAAACCAAATCAACTGATCTGTGTATATATACAAATCAAAATTAAAAAAAAACCCCACAAACAAACCCACAACAACTGATTTGTGTATACAAATCAAAACCAAATCAAAATAAAAAACAAACCCACAAATCAAAACCAAATCAGAGACAATATACACACATAGATCTATGTGTATATGTTGAGAGAAGAGGGAGGAAGAGACCCACCGTCGTGCCATCACCGGCACGCATCGCCTCTTCTCTCTTTCTTCTCTCTTCCTTCTCTCCTCTCTTCTCTTCTCTCTTCCCTCTTTTCCCTGTTTCAGAGAATCTCTTCCCTCTTTTCCCTGTTTTAGAGAATAGAGGAAAAAAAAAATTCTCCTTGTTTCAGAGAAAAGAGAGGAAAAAAAAGAAAGAAGCAAAACGACGTCATTTTGCAATTCGGGCCAATCGAGCCTCGAAAATTTCGAGCTACCAAGCTTTATTCTTTTAATCAGGTCCTTTTGGAGATATGCTTGTGAGTTAGGTTTTGGAGAAGTGTGGTCAAGTCAGAGAATGAGACTCCAACCATACTCTTCATTTTTTACTAGCTAAAATATAAAAAAAGGTAATTCTTTATTTTTCCTAATTCCTTTTTTTATTTGTGTACTCCAACACTAATCTTTATTTTACCTATTTATATACACACTGTTTAAAGAGCCTCCCAAGGCTCTTTAAATGTACCTAGCATTGAAGAATTTTGTTAAAATAGCTATTATAATAGTTAGCCCATTGGAGTGACTAAAATATGATAATGCTAACTATAATAGCGAACATGTCTCATTTAAAGAGTCCCTTGGGGGTATTGGGCTATCAGTCTTCAGTCCCTTCACCCCTGCATTGTCAGTATCTATTTAGCTTGTGTTTGATCTGAAATGGGTTAGATCTCAAAATTTATCATCTGGGTTCTTTGAGTGTTTTGGTTTGTGTCCATTGTATGCATGAGTCATGAGATCTTTGTTTGTGGTGTCCAGGGGGCAAGGTTACAGAAGTTGTACAAATCCTGGGAAGATAACCCTGACATTGGTTTTGTGGTGTTGAAGGTAATCTGTTTTTGATGATATAGTAATTGGGTCGTTCTTCTCACACTTGGCTATTGATTTCTTTTTGTTTACATGTGCTAATTTATGGTAGAAGCAACTTGAACATAATTTTTTATTTTTGAAGGGAAGTGGCCGGGCATTTTGTGCTGGTGGTGATATTGTTACTCTATGCCATTTAATAAATGAAGGTAAGGAGCATTCATTTTCTCTATTAAGACCAAATAACAATTTTTTTTAACATTCAGTTAATTGTATTTTTGATAGTTAAGTTATGCTTTTCTAGAAAGTTTAAATAATTCAAAAGCCCCATGTAAAAGAGTTATAGCTTTATGTAATTAGTTGAAACAGTGACGTAATGGAATATGAGATTTTGTACTTTGTCATTTATGGAGTTTTAGGAAATGAAACCAGGTAGGGTAAGTTGTAACAGTACAGTACACAATCTAGGGTTTTTTGGGGAAACAAGAGTGCAACATATTACAAAAAAGGTAAGGGGGTGTTGTGGGGGCACAATGCAGAATGTAAGTTCAATGTAGTATGGGAAAATGAGGGAAACAAGGAATTTAGATGAGCTAGAGATTACAAAATTGACTACTTTGCTCTCGGATAAATGATCACAAGGAGAGGCAGATTTGGGAGGGCTTTCGTTATAGGCTATGAAGCGCGGATACTGATACGGACACGGACACGGACATGGACACGAGACACGACAATTTCAAAAAAATAGGGACACGGACATGGCAAATTTATTTATTTATTTTTAAATATATATGTATTTGCCATGTAAATTAATATTATGTTACCAAACAATCAAAATTAATAAAACTAATATTAATTTAATGTATATATAATAGTCACTACATTCAAATATATATATAAAAGTCACTACATTTAAATAAATAAATAGAAAAAAAAAAACTGATTTAAAGAGATATAATAGTATATTTATTATAGATAGACGAAGGATGGAAACGAGAGAGAGAGAGAGAGAGATGACTAGTTTAAAAAAAACAGATAGAGAGACGACAAGAAAGAGAGAGAGAGACAATGACACAGAAGAAGAAGCGAGAAAGAGAGACGAGAATGACAAAAGAAGAGATAGGGAGATGACGATCAACGCGAGAGAGAGAGAGAGAGAGACGAGAGGTGAGAGAGACTTACTAGACTGTAGATGGTGCTCGATGGAGATGGAGCTTGATGGAGAGATCGATCGAATGCCTTCCTCGAACAGGTTCTTCGTTTCTCTTCTCTCTCTCTCTTATTTATTTATTTATTTATTTATTTTTCTTCTGATTTTGGATTAGGTTTCTTTTTCCCTTTCTTCGGATTAGGTATTCGATTTTGGACTTTTCGTGTCCCCTGCCAAAAAAAAAAAAAGAAAAGGGACACACTAAATGGCATATCCAGTGCGTGTCCGTGGCGTGTCCCCATGTTTGAGTCCGTGCTTTATGGGTTATAGGATTATAGTTTTATGGAAGATATGGGAAAGTGCACCCGATTCTTATATATTAGGTTGAAACTACTATTGGTTTTTACAATTGTAAGGAAGGGTAAGACTATTGTGTCCACCAAAAAAAAAACAAATACACGAGACAAATATTTGGGGATTGTTATGAGCTTGGAACAGTTTTCGGAGACAATAATTAGGGTGTGGTGTGTTCTTTTAGGGCCTGGGTTGGATGTTTGTGGAGGGGAAGGCTTTGGGCTCCTAAAAATGGAATTTTAAAGAGGGAGTAGAGATGGAAACAAATTTTATTGGAAGGTCGGAAGGCCAATAAAATACAAAATGTTTAAGTAAACAACAGAAGTTAGACATCATGTTGGATTCTGTTGTGATCACATAAGATTAAAACTGTATCTCACAACACTAAGAGAGCTGTAAAAGCTTCTGACCTTAACTTCTAAGTAATCTTAATAGTGAAAAAAAAAGAAAAAGAAAGAAAAGAAAAACAAATGTAGGCTTTAGTCCTAACTCTAGTGGAAATGGGAGTCCACATTTTTCCTACAGACCTACTGAAGTTCACAATTAAATGTCATTAATGAAGGTGCAAGTGCAACCCATAGACCACACTATAGGTCATGTTTAGGATACCTTGAAACTGCATACGAAAAAAAAAAAAAAAAAACAGAGAGAAAAATACTGCTAAAATTAAAGCAAGTTCGAGTAGAAGAATATTGATAGAATATTATATTATGAGAATTGAGAGGTCACTCTCTGAAAAAAAGAAAAAAAGAAAAAGAAAAAAAGAGATGAAATATAGAAACAAGGAAAGAAAGAAAGGGAAAAATAAGTCTATTAAGAGAGGTGACAGTGACCCTCTTACTTTTTTGAAGTGAAAAATCTTGTGTTGTGCCCCTTCAATCTTTAGTTTATCAGCTCTCAAACCAAGCTCCAAATTTTCCCCTTTCTTTAATTTGCTCATTTTTGAACTTCTTATGTGCCACATTTGATTTACTTTGCAGAATAGGATAGATGTGAGTGCGGCTAGAGCAGAGATACAATTTTGTAGAAGAGGCAAAACAAGTTAGTCCTCTAGAAAAACGTTACTATTATGAGCGTGGAAACACTCTCAAATTAATAGTAACAATGGCAGGAGAAGTTAGTCCTCTGGGTAGGAGAAGTACCTCTGCAAATACAAGTATCTCATTAGCCCCAAGAGAAAAAAAAATCTTCTAAACATTGGCATGTTTAGTGAGATGAAGATAATGCAAGCTTCCCCTTCCAAGCTTAAAGATCATTAGGTTTTGTTTGCCAAGGATATAGTAAGCCTTAAAATTACAAAGAAGCAATGGCAGCTCTGGACTCATTTAAATGGCTAAGGTGAGGGAAGACGAAATAAACTCAATCAATAAGACTGAAGTGTGGGAATAATTCAATGAGTTCTCAAGGAAGAAAAAATCTAAACTCTGGTGGTTCTTTATATAATTACAAGGCCAGGCTTGTAGCAAAAGGCTATATGCAAAAGCTAGGGATAGATTACTCAAATAAAATCTCATATAGTGATAGTAAAGCTTGTAGCCAAATGGATGTGAAGATGCATTCTTGAATAAGAAAAAGGAAAATTTTATATGGAGCAACTATATGAATTTACTAGGGAGGATCAAAGCGTTAATAAAAGAATCAGTATGTGGTCTCAAACAATTATCTTTCAATGATATCTCACTTTTCACCAAACAATACTAGAAATTAGATACGAGATAATTAAAATGGATAACTATATATATATATTTGGAAACGTGTAAGAAAAATATATTACTTAAAAATTATATATTATCAGTAGGAAATGATGTGGATATGACTAATTAAACAAAATCTTATCTAGGATCAAAGTTTTAGATGAATTACATGGGTTAAGCAGTATATAGTCACTCTTGTCTTACAAGTCTAAGTAGCTAGGAAGCTTCCCTATGGCTCATTTAGGGGTAAATGAGCTAATATCCTAAGAACAAAAATAACCCATATGTATGTATATTAAATCTTTGCCATTGAAGAAAAAAGAAGTATTAAAAGAGGGTGACATTCTCTCTCTCTCTCTCTCTCTCCACCTTAAAGCACCATGTCATTAAAAACACACCCAAAAAGAAAGCTTGAACTGGATATACACCCTCCCTCTGTATATGTGTTAGTGTTACTTCAAATTCATGTTCTCTTTCTCTCTCTCCACCTTAAAGCACCATGTTATTAAAAACACACCCAAAAAGAAAGCTTGAACTGGATATACACCCTCCCTCTATATATGTGTTACTTCAAATTCATGCCATTTCTATTAACAAGTTGTTGAGGAGAATTTGTGTGCCATTCAGCAGATCTACAAATGTATTTCCTTCAAACAAGTAGTAGATCATCAAAAGGAATGTGAAACTAGTGTTTACTTACTAGTTGAATGGAAAAAAGAAGGCAGAGGAGGAAAAAGAATCTGTTGCAGGCTTTTGGAGATTTGCTTCTCCATCCAGAGAATGTTGATAGCTTGATTTGGAATGAACAGTGAAGTTAGGAGTCATTTATGGCATACTCAACAATCCTACTAATGCCATGTTGCTTGATGTTTCAAACTAGGGTGATTTGAGTTCTTACTGGAGAATGGAATCCCAGTACTTGATTAGAAGAGTACCCATATGTTCTATATCACGAGATTTTGAATGATTCCCATCCTCCAATTGCTCGCAAATGTGTCATCACAAAACAAATAATGACGTATCTCACGGCTAGTCTCCTCTTCTATAATATTTTCCTTTTGTCACAACCTGCAAGTAGCCTTTGTAAATCTCCTTGTTAGTCTATAATTATGAGTCAAATATGTTGTACATCAATATTAGCATTTGTATTCTCATTATAGCCATAAGTAATAGCTTCCACATAATACCTGGTATTAGATGCTTTACTCTTACTTTACAACATTATCTGTGTGTTTTTTGGACTTGAAAAACTTGATGCTCTTTTGTAAAGAATCTTGTAATCTTTGTTTCACTCTTTGCAGGGAACATAGAAGACTGTAAGGAATTTTTTGGAACGTTATATAGTTTTATATACCTCCTAGGTACATATTTGAAGCCACATGTGAGTATTCATTACTTTCAAAGCATTAAAGGTTGAAATGTATAGTTGGCTATTGTTTTCATTTACAATACTTCACTATTCACAATTGTCCATTTAATACGGTCATGTGTAGACATTTTTCCATGAGATCCATGATCTGTAGATGCTTGACATTATGGCCTTGTTTGGCAAAGTATTTTTGGCTAAAATAGCCAACCAAGACAAAATAGGCTAAAATAGCCAATGAAACAAAATGTTATATCAAAAACCATAATCATTTCTCTCACATCCATCAAATCAACTACAAAAATAAGCCAACCAACTTCCCAAACACAACTTTTTTAACTAGGATAAAATAGCTAAAAAGCCAACTAAAATAGCTAACTTCTCAACGAGGCCTATATTTACTTTGAAATCGTTGTATATGAATTCCACTTGTTTCATCTTTACTACCTTTTATATGCATCACTTTGGTCGAACAACAACACTTGTGCAATCATGCAATCGCTTTTCATCTCACCAAATTGGAGACCCCGTCATTCCCTAAACATATGATTATAGGGTTCATGTGAATTTGTGGTCTTTCCCCTTGTTCGGTAGACAAAGTGCATGGGTGGGAGCAAGACTTGATGGAGACGAGAGAACTATAGAATGGGCTTCCAGAGTTCCGAGGGTCTTGATGAGGGTAGAGTGATTGATATGTGGGAGCATACTATTTGTTCCATCTTTGCCTCTCTCGAATTGATTGGTCGTGTTTTGTGACAAACAATGAATATTTCGCGATCCAAATGGTTCTATTAGGCTAGTGGACTCAACTAGAGAACATAAGAGAGGTATAAATTAAATTGATGGGGCTGCCGATTGACTTATGGGATGGGGAAGTGCTTAGGGCTTTGCAAGCTTGTTGTGAGGGGCCTAAATCGTAGTGGACGAAGGCACAACGAAGAGGGTCCATCTCTGGTGGGCTCTAGTGTTCGTTATAGACAACATCCATTTGAATTTAGTGCACGGCTAATGACATTCCAAATTTGGTTTGGGCTCAAGTAGGGTCAAGAATAGCTTTTTGGTTGAAGAAATCTTTGATGGGCTGCCAAAATGGAGGGAGACGGTGGAGCATGGGAAGGATGCTATGGTGTTGCGTGCGGGGGTATTGGTTTTCAGAAGTGGATAGCTGGCATTGGTAGGAATGTGGTGGACATTGTGCCATGTCACCAGTCTGAGGCGAGTCAGTTCAAGGTGTCAAGTTATCAATTTTTCTAAAAGCCTAAGTTGTTAGGAAATGGGCCCAACAATGTATATCAAGCTATCTAACACCCTCCCTCACGTGCAACCCTGTCTTGCATGTGGAGAGACAAACAGAGAACCAAATAGAAGGATAAGCAAACAAACGGGGACGCAATACCAAATGCTAACGAATAGACTTGAACCTAAGACCTCTCTTAATCAAAGCTCTGATACCAATTTTTGCAAAAGATCTAGAAACAACTGTCTGCTTCTTACTCTTCCATGATATAAGATGATCACCATAGAAAGTACAGAAGCCAGAAGTAGAACGTCGATTAGTTTTGAATCCTACATAGTCAGCATCAGTGAAACAAGAGAGCTCAGATTGGGAGCGGCTGTAAAAGAATTATCCCAAGTCAGGAGAGGTCTTCAAATATCTCAAAATGTGATGAATCGCATCAAGATGTTCTGTACAAGGTGCATGCATGAATTGACTAACAACACTGACCGCAAATGTCAAGTTAGGTCTAGCGTTAGTTAAATAAATTAGGCGCCAAATGTTAGGTTAGGTCTAGTGTTAGTTAAATAAATAAGACGCCCAACAAGACGCTGATACATACCTGGATCCTCTAGCAACTCGCCAAACTCTTATGTGAACTTGACATTAGGATCCATAGGAATAGAAGCTGGTTTACAACATACCAGTATCTTGAAGTAGGTCAAAAGTGCACTTTCTCCGTGACAGGGTCTCCCTTACCTATCGCTCTTTTCTTGACAAGTTTGAATCAGAGGCTATTCCTCGTTCTGTGGTAGAGGCCCTTTAGAATCCAAAATGGGTGGAGGCTATGCAGACTGAGATAACAGCTTTAGAATAGAATCATACTTGAAATTTGGTTCCTTTACCGTCTGGCGAGAATACTATGGGTTGCAAATGGGTATTCACTATTAAGTATCTAGTTGATAGCTCTGTTAAAGCTCGCTTGGTAGCCAAGGGCTTCAATTTGGTATTAGAGCTTGGTTGGGCTTGTGACGGGTGTGCCATTTGTCCGGCTACTGTATGTTGTGATCCAAGAGGATGTGTTGGAATGTGTCCCACATTGCTGCCTGGTGGTGCCCCATCTGTGCTGATTATAAAACTCCAGTTTCCCTCTCCTTAATGCATTGATTTTAAGGAGAAGTGTGGGTTAGGCTTTTCAATTCAAGGCAAAGAGGATTTTAGGCGGAACTCTTGGGTGCACATGCCCATGGGTGTATAGAGTATTCAGGTTGAGTGTACAGGGTTCACCCTCTTTTCTGCATTTTGTTTTATAATGGTCCCATTTGGTATCACTTATAAGTTAGCTTTTATGATTATAGCTTTTTCAATTATTAGCTTCAAAGATTTAAATAAGTTGTAAATTTATTTGGCGCAGCTTTTCATAATCTGTGAAAAAAAAGTTGAACCTATTTAGTTGAATAAGTTGTTACATAGTTTTTTGTTGTGCAAATGTCCAAGATATCCTCAAAAGTTATAATTAAAGCAAAAGAGATGGGTCTCTTTTGTCCATACCTATTTAGGAGGTTCAAAAAAGCTAAAAAAGCTACGAATTGTAGCTGAAGAAAATCTCACTTTTTTTTGACTTAACAAATTGAAAAAGTCAGATAAGTTATAATCTAAAATTGCAACCGACTACCATTAGTCAACTTTTTTTTTAATTAAATAAGCTAAATATGTTGACTTATAAGTGGCTACCAAACAGGACCAATACTTCTACTTACCAAAACAGAAAAAAAGGTCTGGTTTCTGTTATATTGGCTGTTCCATTTAAAGAGTGATGCTATACATAATCCCATTTCTTACCTCATTTTCTCACTCCAAGACACAAAGCAATGGGGCCCACATCAATAAATGCACATAGGACCATTCACATGTGTCTATGAGTGAGAAAATGAGGCAAGAAATAGGATTTATGTAGCATTTTCCACATTTAAATGGCTTAAGGAAATTGTCTTGGTATGGACATTCTTGGTTGTTGCAAATTGGGAAAACACTGCTAGAATTTCAGAGCAACACTTGTTTTAGGATTTTGGGTCTTAGTGAAAATGCCTGTAATGTAGGCAAAGGGTGAGACTTATGGATGTAGGCTTTTAGGTCCAAGAATCAACATAATTAGTTGTTGATTGTAACCATCAAAAAGGTCTGCTTGTAGAGAATGAGAAAAGAGCAAGAAGAATTAGGGTAGTTTTCTGTCAGTTCTAGAATCCTTTAGGCATCACATACTTTTATGATTATATCATACAGATATGATTCTAAATAGTTTCAGAAACTTTCGAAAGTTCAGTAAATTGATCTCTATCAAATTTGAAAGGTTAACATTTGTATGTATAAGCTATTAGAGATCTTCTACCTCAACAAGGTAATTGATACTGACCTGACCCAAAAATATAAAAATAATAATAAAACTACAATGTTTGTAAACCTATATAAACCAAATAAAGATCAAATGTAAATAATATCCAATAATGTAAGGCCCAAAAGAATCCCATATAAAACTGGATCATTGGCATGTCACCTTAAGGAAACAATGAAATTCAAGTAGACGTGAACTAAAACCTGATCATGAGATGGTGGTCTCTGCCTTGAAAGCAACATGTTTTCCAGGTTTTTTCTCTTATTGGAGTCTAATTTTTCTTAAACTTCTTATGGCCTGTATAAGTTATTATTTTGGGGAATAAGGGAAGGGGAATATAAAAGCTACTGTTTATTACTGGTTTGACCCTTGATAGAATGGATAAAGAAATCATGTAGATGGGATTCTGGGTTATCTCTTTCATTTAACAGTGTTAACCTTTATAATTACAGCAGTACGTTTGCAATCTTCATATAGGTGGCACTCTTGAATGGGATTACTATGGGTGGTGGAGCTGGGGTTTCTATACCTGGGACATTCAAGGTTGCAACTGATAAAACTGTATGTATCAGAGACTCTTGTGATTATTATTTGTTTCCTTTTCTTATTGTTAGTTGTTTATATTGATAATGTAGTGGTTTTGTTGTACACTTCCTCTGCCCAAGTAAGCTGTAAATGATTTTGCAAAGCTTGAGGAAGTTCCACATATATTTTTGAATGGGGTTGGTTTTCATATTTGATTTACGATTAACATATTAAAAAAACTCAGAACATAAGATCTAATTTGGACTAACTGCACTGATTCCCCTGCATGTGGACTCGTCTCTCACCATATGATCATGGTTCCTGAACTTTTTCTCGTGTAATGCAGGTCATGGTATTTTCTATTTTACTTCCATTTTTATTTGTTTATTGTGAATTCAGGTCGTGGTATCATCTTTTTGTTTAACTGACCCCATGTAATTGGAATAAAGGCTTTTTGAGTTATCATCTTTTCATTCAATAGGTTTATGGTTTGCCTATCACATGTATTTACTTCATTTTCATTTAGTGGAAGCAATACGATCACTTGCAAAAATTGGACTCAAGAATAAGAATTTGATAGTTTTAATTTTCTCCACTTTGTGGTGATGTTAATATTCAATTTCACCTATTTATTTTCTTTGTTCGAATATAATCCAGCCGTTGAGGGATTTTGTTATATTTTGCCCTTACAAATGCAGGTTTTTGCTACCCCTGAAACACTAATTGGTTTCCATCCTGATGCTGGGGCATCATTTTACCTCTCACATCTACCTGGTCACTTGGGTTAGTTTTTATAATTTGCCTTGTATTTTATTTTTCTACGCATTGTCAACTTGTTTTAATTAGTACAATTGTCATGACACTATAGAAGAACCATTTGTGGTTGTATAATTTGGAAAGATATGTCTGGGAATCTAATTTTGATTTGTTTTAGGAGTTTCAACTTGACCAAGTCCAGATAAGGGCAATTTGTTGGGATCTTGTTCTGTTGAATATGCATCTGAATTGCTCTTTCCTAAAACGTCTCTAATGATGGATAAATTTAAATCATTTCTTAGTTCCTTCAGAATTTTTGGATATTGTGAAGACAGACTGGATTTGTGAGCTGATGATAGAGACTGTAAATTTTGAACTGCATCCTGTGTACTTGACCCACCGCCCTTCTTGTCACCTTACTGATTTACTTCACTTACAAAAACCAAATGAAACATTGATAATTCATTGTCTAAACTAGCTAGGCCATCTGATTCATGAGTTAATGAAATTGATGTAAGATTTCTCTGGTTATAATGTAATGTGTGTTTAATTTGTAGGGGAGTATTTGGCTCTCACGGGAGACAAACTGAATGGAGTCGAATTGATTAGCTGTGGACTTGCTACGCACTATTCAATCTCTGCCGTTAGTTCCGCTGAACCATTTGCCTTACTCTTGCAGTATACTTGTTTCTTTGGGCTTTATAGCAGTTTTGATCTCTCTCTCTCTCTCTCTCCTTTTATTTTTTTTGTTTAATTCCTCCTCACTGACAGAGGCTTCCATTAATTGAGGAACAACTTGGAAAACTGGTTACCGATGATCCTTCCGTTGTTGAAACTTCTCTAGCCAAGTATGGCGATATTGTCTATCCTGATAGGGCGAGTGTACTTCACAGGTACAATCTTTTCTTCTTTTCTTTCTTTCCCATAGATGTAACTATATTAAGGCCAAGTTTGGCATGACCTAAATAATACAAAAAGTCAAAAAGTCACTATCCTATTTAAGTCACATCATCTTATTTAAATCACATCACCTCTCTAACACATCACATCAAACCCAACCCAAACCCAACCCATATAAGCCAATAAGTCAAAAAGTACACTTTTTTAGAACATCCCAAACCAACCCCTTTGACTTGGTAGGAAATTTCTTTTGGAGGTTACTGTAGGCAAAATGGTGTTTTAAGAGAGTTTTGAAGAACCATCTGATGTAGTTTTGTGAAAGGTGATAATTTTTGGGCATTCTAACATCATATGGAACCGTAATCACTTGACTGCTTTGTGTTTTTTGTTCTATTTGAAGTGAGTGCTTTACGTCTTTTGGGGGTGGCATTTTGGAAGCAAATGTGATTAGTTTAGTTTAAATCATGTCTGCCATCATTGTGGTATTTCAAAGAACATCATTTATATTTTTATCATCAATGTTTGTGGTAATTCCTATCTTTATTCCTGTTTTGTATTCTAAAGAATGATTTTCCTTAATTTCTTTTGGAAAAAAAATGGGATTGATTTTGTCTTCATGGTAGAACCAAATCCCCTATTATGATTTAGGATGGAAGAACTGCTAATATCTATGAGAATTCTAATGAAATTACTAGATTTTCTTAGTTTCATTAGCTGCCTGTTTTACTTGTACTCAACTTTTTATATGCATTTTTTGGGTTGATGTCTCCATTTTCAAGTTGACTCCATTTTTGATGAAGCCTTTGTTCTTTCGAGAATTTTCAGACAACCACCAAAAATTAAATTGCCATCCCCATACTCTTGATCTTGTCATTTGGATAAACATCTTTAGTAAATTTTGTCTATGACAATCTTAATTTAGTTGATCCTTTATTCTCTCATTTTCTTAGGATTGAAACACTTGACAAATGTTTCAGCCATGACACAGTTGAAGAAATCATCGATGCTCTGGTAAGCATATGATTTTTTTTGCATAATTCTTCAGTCCCAATAGAACTTCCCTTTTTGTTTAATTTTTCCTGGAAAGCTTAGTAACATTATGCCATAAAAACTGCTTAATTCCATTTTCCATATATTTATGATAAAATCTGAGGAAACAAAGTGGAAAATCTTTGAAATTATACCATTCAATTTTTTGTAAAATAATGCTTCAAAATAAATATTTTTTCAGGAAAGTGAGGCAGCGAAAACACATGATGACTGGTGTACTTCAACCCTAAAGAAACTACAACATTGCTCGCCATTAAGCTTGAAGGTTTCCTTAAGATCTGTAAGTACCTTTTGTTTTTCATCCGGCTTGGTTCTAACAAGGTACTTTTATTTATGTCTTGATCCTTAATTAATGTCTGTTTTAGATACGGGAAGGTAGATTTCAGACTCTCGATCAGTGCCTGGTTCGTGAGTATCGGATGTCCTTACAAGGAATCTCTAAACAGATTTCTAATGACTTCTGTGAGGTAGTAATACCATTTGAGCTTGACTTGATAGGAAAGTATTCTTTGACCTTTTTAACTAAATATTGTTCTTGTATTTCCTCGTCAGGGGGTTCGGGCAAGAGTGGTGGACAAGGACATGGCACCCAAGGTATCAATGATGTAAATTGTATTAGCAAGGTAGCTTTTGATAATCAAATGATATATATATATATATATATGGAGGTCGTGACCTACCTTGATGGAAAATGCTCTTCACCCCCAACTTATGGCTTGGATTTGAGTTGCATGAATGTCCACACAGAAAATGGGATAAAGCTGCCTATCTACTACCTCTCTCATACCCTGCTATAAGCGGGAGTTAGGGGTGAGAATTTTGAACACAACCCGAATGGACACAAACTTAGTAGGTTAGAGTTGATCATTTTTTGACATGAATATGACTTGACCTAATAACATGAATATTAAACGGGTCAAGTCAGTGTCAAATCTATATAACATGAAGTTGACACGAATAACCCTTTAATAAAAAATTAGTTACACATTTTAATGTTTTTTCCACCGAAGAGTGACTTGACATTTTTTGAATCCCTCATGTAAGTCCATCTATCTTATTAAAAAGTATGCAAAGTAAGATTTTAAGGCTAATATGAATTTATTTTATTTTATTTTTAATTTAAGATATTTTATTTTTTGTCTACTATTTTAGAGTCAATCTAGTAAAAAAAATATAATGATAGGATATAGTTTATAAATTAGGAAAATCTAAGTAAGTAGAAATCAAATATTTTTATGAATAATTTCATCCATGGGAGATTAGTTCATGAAATTTAACTTGTAGAGAAAAAAATAAAATTTTGCATACACATGGTATTTTTAACTAAGGGTGAAAATCTTGATGTGACATGCTAATTCGACACTAACTAAACACATACCAAAAATAATACGATAGAATAATACACAATAAACGAATTGAGTTATGAATACGACCCAACATCTCACAACATGACATGATGCCTAGTCTCGTGCATTGAATGGTCCAGGAGTGATGGGTGTGCTCTGGGATAATAGGCACTTGTCATTTGAGTATCAAAACCCTATATGGCATGTTGTGCCCTCAAAATATTTGCATTCAACTGCACTGTTAGCAGAATTTGATTATTATTCATGTTTTTTTTTTTTCTTCAAAATTTGCAGTGGAACCCTCCGAATTTGGAACAAGTATCCAAGGACATGGTAGATCAGTATTTTTCACCTCTGAGCGAAGTTGAGCCTGATCTAGAGCTACCCATCAAACAGCGCGAAGCTTTCACATAGTTGAGAATGTGCTTCTCATTTTTGTTTTATGTTTTCTTAATCCAAAAGTGTTGGGAGTTCGCAGAAGGATATTGGAAACCAAAAGAATTCAAAGCCTTCCATGTTTTCCCCTGATCTCTCTCTCTCTCTCTCTCTCTCTCTCTCTCTCATTTTTGGAGTGGATGAATATTAAGATCGTTCTGTTGCATAATGAAAATTTAGGATAATAAAAGTTGCCCATATTGGTCAAATTTTACCGGAATCATTTTTTTTTTCTTTTTGAAGAACAGAAAGAGCATCTTTCATTTACCTTCCAGGATTGCAATTTCTTGCCATCACTATTGAGGTGCAGGAACTGAACTGCAGATGTATTATCATTTTTTTTATTATTTTATTTTTTTAGACAAGATGCTTGATCATCATCATCATCAAATAATTAATGAAGGTAATGAAGTTAATCAGTGCTAGCTTGCTTTGATTTTCATTGGAGACTAGTTGAGCCTGCACCTGTGTTTGCCCATCCTTGCCTTTGATTTTCTGTTTTCAATGTAAGATCACACACACATATATATACTATTATATAAAGGCTTCAATTGGTGTCTTGAAGCCTTTTGTTTCTCCTTATGCCTAGTGTCTCATTTCTTTATTAAAAAATAAAGTTTAGATTGAGAATTGAGTGGAATTTGAAATTAAGATCTTAGTAATTTTTATTTATTTATTGAAGTTGCACATGTATTGTGTGTGTCAACTGTTACTATATATATATATGGGAGGAGGATAGGATAGAGTGGAGAGTTGTCTATTTTATATATAAAGCTAATTTACTTGACCTACACCTGTGTTCTAACTTCTTTGACAATATTGAATTAAACTGCCATTTTTCCATTATAGTTTTCTTGCCCTCTATTTGGATGAAAACACCATAGATGAATAATTGCGGAACAACTTTTGAATCCTCAAATAAATAAATAATAATAATAATAATAATAAAACACAATACAAAAGAAAAAAAGGAACAAATTTTGAATCCTCATATAAATAGTAATAATAATAACAAAACAAAACAAAATTTAGTTTTTTTCAAATTGGTCATCTCAACTTGAGAGAACGTTTGGACTTAATATTCCTATTTTGGGACCAACTTCAATCTAAACTGTTCAACTTCTTAAGATTCAATTGAATATAATATTTATGCAAAAATTAAATAATTAAATATCTATAATTATATATTTGAATTAAATTTGTTTAAAAAAATAAATGACAAACATAATTTTAAAAATAACTATTTATTTTTTATAACATGAATGTAATTCAAACTTATAACTACTGATGCCAAATTATACTAAATTTTTTGCATAAATATTCTACTGAATAAGTTTAAAAAATAAATAATTTGAATCACCAAAATCGGTTTCAAAATGAACTTATCAAACTCAAACACTCTCAAATTGAAACGACCAACTTAAAAAAAGCCAAATTCAAAAAACAAAGTCTAATTATTACAAGCATACTCAAAATTAACTTATTATATTAATAAATTAACTTGAACGCATCTTAAAACTAAGTTTTCAAGTGTAGTTTAATACATTTTAAAACGTTACATGCACTAGTGATCCCTACTGTAAGTTGCCCAAAAAGGACAAATTATAACCGACAAATTAAATTTTGAATACATTTTGAAAATATTTAAATTAGCAGGCCAACCTTAAACAAAAGGCTTATTTACAACCCAATCTTCACTATATGATGATGGTCCTACATTACTAATAAATCTACCAGACAGTTATCTGAATAGTTCACAAATTCTCTACATGTAGCAAACCCTTGCAAGAAATATCCAATCCAAACACAATATAAAGTATACCAACTATTTAAATACAATCATTCACTTCAAACAGGATGCTATTCTGTTATCACAAAACGCACTACACTGCATCACAAGATGGCCCCAGCAAAACAACACACACACACACACACAAAAAAGAGAGAAAAAAAGGAAAGGGGTTCGGACACGTTATAGCTTCTATCATTTCTACATAGCATATTCATCAACCCTGAAGATCTCGATATTTACCTACCTGCAACAAATATCAAGTATTGTATGATCATTGATCAGTCTGCTGATAAAACATCTTGAGCAGCCTTAGAAAGTAGAATTTGAAATAACATGGCAAGAAACTAGAAATGTGAAATTGTACCTTCAATAAGTTAGCAAGGGGACACTAATCAACTTCTGCGGGAGTGACATCTTTTTGCACAACCTGCCATCACAAAGTTCCTTAAAGACCATATTGAAGAACTAGGGGGCAAAAACTATGGGAAATGATAATCATAGATCACCAATTATTTCATGGTTCTCCAATATTCTTGTCATTTTTCAAAATTGTCCATCAGTAACTATGGGAAATGATAATCATAGATCACCAAAATTGTCCATTTCCCTTTCCGAATCTCTACCCCAATCCATATTCACATGGGTGTGGACACTGACACACACCTGAACTCAATGACTGTGTAACTTAGTCAAGCAATGCTAGAGACTCCAAATGAGTTATCAAATATTCACATGGGTGTGGATCCCATGTGGATCCCAAGGGGTGTGGGGATCCACACCCTTGTGAATATTTGGTAACTCATTTGGAGTCTCTAGCATTGCTCGACTAAGTTACATATAGTCGTTGAGTTCGGGTGTGTGTCAGTGTCAGGTTCATCAAAAGTCAATAGAAAACTGCCCCCTCACCAGGCATATGCAACATTTGTACGGGAAATTCCTAAAGTACTTACTGCCTTGCATGCACACAACATCTTAATTTACTGCTGCCAAACATAACTCATTCCGAAGATGAAAAATGGAACATAAACAATGAAAGAAAACCACTAAATCATTGAGCTCTAAATTTATAAAATACCTGTGACATGTATTCTTTAATTTTCTCACTAATTGGTCCATCTAAAGATCTCTCAGCAAGCTCATAAAACAAAGTATTGCCTTCAGGTCCATTAGTTTTTTCCTTCTGCAAATATCTAACAATACAAGAGTAGGATAAGTGGGGGTATTCTATTCAGCGTAAAGAATTCCATTAATCAGAAGCACCAAATGAGAAATCTACCCAATTTGGCAATTCTTACCTTTGCTGGACAAGTGCCTCCAGAGACTGTTTGATGTTTCCGAGGATTGGATGGCTTTCATCACTTTCACTCAATCCCAGCCGCCTCAAATGATGCCAAAGAGCTTCTGTGATGCATTCACCAGAACAAAAAGACCTCTTTCATTTTAGATTAGGACAAGAAACAAAATAAGAAGATAGGAGGGATTAGCCCATAAAGTTTTATATTACAATTTTAGATCAGAAAAATTTAACTAGGTGATAGTAACCATCTAATATGGCAAACTTTGCTGGAAATTCTTATGAATCAGTTCACAGTGATCCACCAAAAATATAGTAGTAACTTCCCATGAGATTCAGGATTTCAACAAGGTTTTGTCTTATTTTCTAGGGTGGATGCAATAAATAATCTTCCAGGGCTCTAATTTGTGCTATCTATCCTGGCATTCTGCTAACAAAGAAATATTGATTAAGATGTACATAAATAAGAGAATCCACATAGAAAGCATACCTTCTTGAATTTTGCCTCCAGCAAGATATACGATACTAATAATAACGAAAGTAAAACCAGTCAGATGCGATGTATTTGCATCCTCAACATATTTCTTATACACTTTAGCTGGCAGCTGACTTATAATAACATAGGATTTTGCATCAGGAACACCTGGAAAAGTAAAATGTAGAAACCACAATTACAGCCAAGACCAAAAAAAATTGTCTATACCCTGTACAATGCCAGAGATGGTTATGTCTATGATCCAAATGGTTCATAATTACACACAACCTGTTACAGATTTTCATTTGGAATTGGTTAGGGAAAATAACCGAAGTAAAGGACTTTCTACGCTATTTGACGTGTTTCACATTAAGATTAAATCCAACCAAGAGATTCTACTATTGCATGCAGTTTATCTTTTTGGGGTGGAAAAAAAGGATGCCATCTGAAATGATAGTATTCATGGTAGTCGCAGCTGCTGATTGCAAGAGGGTGCATAAAGGTATTAAGTAATGTTGGACTTTATGGACATTTTAGGAGGTTGATTGTTCAAACTTGAAAGTGCCAATGTCATCTCCAAGGAATGTTAAAGTGGTGGTGGAAGTGGCAGTTCAAGATAAATTGTCATGCATTAACAGAAACTTAGTGATGCAAACAACAATTGACCAAAGTGTAATTTAATAATCTGATTCAAATAGAATACTCATGCAGTGAAGTGTCTATACAAGTAACTTAAGTTTAATAAGCTTCAACCAACTGCGTGAAACATTCAGTCAGATAAAACATGCAACTAAATAGTTTTAACCAAAAAACTATATTGTAAGCGAACCAGCCAATGCACGACACCACTGAGGAATATGTGGCATGCATTCTACTCCCCTCGTGTTAGAAGAAAACTATACCTTTATCATTCACATGCAGAACTGGCATGACAGCCTTTACATAGGAAAGAACTGCATCATGACTTTTGGTTTTGGACCATTTATCTTTAAAGAATAGAGACATTCATGAATGGAATTTGGTAATTAAGATCAACAAATTAACCAATTTGGATATTCAATAACAATATAATCCAAATTTCAACGCAAATTCTTCAAGCAAGCCAACGCTAAATAAGCTGAACTATGCTTCACTGAAAATGATTTTGAAACAACCTATTTTGATCCCCAAACTGAATCCAGCTATACGATTATGAGAGCAACATACATAACTTGCATTCATTTAGAAAAGTAAAAACAAGAAGCATAAAGTCATGCAATGGATCATCAGAAACCAACAGTGCCTTTTTAACAGGGTCATTTGGTCAGTGGGCTTGAAGAGTATACATAGACAAAAGGCAAGGGATTACTGCCTAGGTGTCTTTGTCATAATGTTCGCATTTAGAATGGTAGCCAAGATACTTACAAACCAAGTAAACCAAAGAGAAGATGTGAGTAAGCAGATGATCACTTAAAATTGAATAATAATTAGCAAAGAATAAGTTTTATACTGATGTGAAAAAAAAGGTCTGCTTGGTGTCTGGAGTATGGTGGCTTCCACAGCAGATGCATGCTATGGGTAACACATTATTTTCTCAAAAGATTAAGTGGTAATGGTTTCTCACTCTGTTGTGAAGAGCGGCCCTGATTTGTTGAAGGGCGAGACCGTTGAAGCTCCCTCATTTCATATCCAAAAATGCTTAAAAGCTTTTCTTTGGCAACATTGATTACAAAAGCAGGGAGAGCCCACTGCCGATAGTTTTTAGTAATCAGTTGAGTAAGCTCATCTCTTTTGATCGGGCACCCTGAATTCTGCTGGGTTTTAAAAAGGACATATCGGATCACTTCTGCAACAAGCCTGTCCTTTTCCTGCATCCATAAAAGTTTTACAAACATAACATACAGACAATACAGCAATATCTGAGAATGTAAATGGAAGTGAGGCACAGTATGCACCTCCACAGAAATATCAAATTGAGAGAAATCTTCACCGGAAGTTGCCATCCTGGATCAAAATGAAAAATGGTAGGTCATTGAATCGTCTTAAGATACAAGATAATACTTATCAAGTATATATATATATATATATATAAGATTGTTAGGATAGGTTTAGGTAGATCAGCTATTTTCGGTGATCAAAACCTCCAGAGTTTGTAAGCTGTGGAATTGGGGCTTAGTTTATTTTTAGCTCAAAGAGTGAGATGGAGTTGACCATGTTCTTGCCTCCATGTCGGTTACCCTCGAGTTTATGACGCGTGTGGACCCCTTGCAGAAACACTCTTTGCATCTCTCTTGCATTTAGGTAGCAGCCTATCCTCGGAATTCAATTATCTGAGTTTCAAAGGAAATTCCTAAAAAGTTATGTGAGTTTTTTTTTTTTTACACAGCTTGACCTGCGCTCAACAAGTGCCGGAGCACTCAAACTCCTGCAAGGCCCGCTCAACAATTTCTTGACAGGAGCTCAAGCTCAAAAATTGCTGCAAGTACATGGGCTCAAAGCGCACAAATTCACGAGAGGGATGCTCAGCCATACTATGGTTTCAACTTGGTACATACTATGATGTCTAAACCAATTGCAAGGGGAACTATTTTCACCCAGATTCGTATATCTATATATACATTTGTATGTGTGTCTAGGCTTACATCTATCTATCTATCTATTTATCTTTATACATTTATCATCTATATTTGATTGGTTAGAGCGTCTCAAACGCTTCCTCTTTTGTTTCATCAAATTTAAATTTGATAAAAAACATAAAGTTTTCGTGCTCCAATGTTAACATCAAACCAGTATCAAATTGAGGATGGCTAGAGCCTTTCATTAAATTACTGTAGATAGCCTGGGACTGTACACCGGACGAGCAGCCGGTTGTTCTCCCGGACAACCTCTCACTTGCTTAGACTTCCCGTAAATTTACACTAACCAATTGACCGGCCGGACATCCTTCCGCTCGACCGGTGATTTGATGAAAAATGAAAATTTTCCAGTTGGAACGCTTGAAGCTTTTACTCAAATTTGATGAAAAAAATAGTAAACGTTGGAGACGCTCTTAGGACATTAATTTTATGGAATCTTTGATTTTTGCATCTTCTATATTCTCTGATTGGGTTTTGAGTTTACCCTCCTTATGATTGCTATAAAAAAATATTTAAAAAAAAAAAAAAAAATTCGAAGAATGAGACATTCCACACAACTAAGCCTTGTGACTTTATTTGGTTTAAAACAAAAACCTTAAAGACAACAACTTTATTTTTCATTATTTTCCTTCCGTTTCTCACCAACCAAATAGAAAATTAGGGTTTGTGTGCGTAAAATACTTGCATTCAGTTGGATAAGTTGGGACTCTGTTAAAACTCCAATTTTTTTTTTTCTTTTGGGGTTTGTTTATTATTCCTAATTAGAGAAAGTAATGCACACAAGGAGAGAGAGAGAGAGAGAGAGAGAGAGAGAGAGAGAGAGAGGAACCTTGCTTGCAACGGTGAAAGGAGAGCTACGGCGGTGGCACAAAGCTAGAGAGAGAACACAGTGAGAGAGAGAGCAGTAAAAGAAAAGGGGCAAATTAATTACAGAGAAAGAAAATGGAGGGAAATAAATTGTAGCTAGGGCGAATTGTGAGGGAATAAAAAATCGGATAACCTTTGAGTCACTTTACTCCTTTATCTATTAATTATGACATGGCTAATCTTAAATTTTAACTCTCCTTTTAAATAAAAATAGTTAAAGATGTTATTACTCTATTTGAAGGATAAAATAGTCATATATTTTATTTTATATTAACTACCTTATATGGGATTTTTATTGATAAGTCCAATTTAGAAGTGTTTTAACTATGAAGGAATTTTTTAATCCATTTAGTCCCATGTATGTATAGTTTTATTCCATAAAGTCCATTTTCTTGATTTACACTATTTTCTTGGACACTTATGCCCTTATATTTAATTTTGATACCCTTATAAATATTTTTTCAACGATTAGCAATTTAATGATGTGAACATTCATATTTTAAAATTCACATTTGTAGGAATGTAAATTGGCCCGTGGGCGGCCCGAAACCCGCTCGCGAGCCAGGGCGGGTCCGGCCTGTTGACAATGTGAATATTCACATTGACATGTTAAAATTCACATTAATAGGAGTGTAAAATTGGCACCCGTCCCGTGGCGGCGCGAAACCCGCCCGCGGTCCATGGGCGACCCGGGGTGGGCCCGGTCTGGCCCGTTGACAATGTGAATATTCACATTGACATGTTAACATTCACATTGATAAGAGTATAAAATTGGGCTGCGGCCCATGGGCGGCCAAACCCGGCCCGGCCCGTTGACAATGTGAATATTCACATTGACATATTAACATTCACATTGATAAGAGTATAAAATTGACCCCCGTCCCGTGGCGGCGCGAAACCCGCCCGCGGCCCATGGACAGCCTAGGGCGGGCCCGGTCTGGCCCGTTGACAATGTGAATATCACAAAAGTCATATATGATGATTTCAAGGGGTGACCACTCTTCGAACATTAGTCACTTAGAAAATAAATAATAAATAATAAATAAATGAAAGTAAAGCACTTGCGTGAATGACAGATGAGTAAGGAGAAATTATTCAGTAGGTCTAGTCATTATGTTGATGCAACGTGTTAAATTAATAAAATTTTAAACGTATTGTACTTATTTTTTGAATTAATAACACATTGACAAATTTTTTAAAATTCCTCCATGTACTATTTTTATTAATCGGGCACACTATTAATTTGATATGCTGAACCCATGAAATAACATCTCAAGAGCCGGAGTCTACTCTTTCAAGTCGTCCCCCATGACCTGGCTAGAGCCTCGAGATTTTTCTGCATTAAATCTATTCTCTCCAAAGTATTATTTGAAGGACAAATTTACAATAGATGCATAATATGCACTAAATGTGAGACTAAAGATTGTACTACCTCATAAAAATTTATATGAAATATGGCTCATTTGTTTTTATTCCAGGTACCTTTGATATTCATTAATAAAGTTTTATTTTTGTTGATAAAAATAATATTAATAAAAATCATAATCAAGTTATACCTCAAACTATTTTGAAATATAATTCACACAATTTCTTTTATAATTTTGACCACTCTGAAAGATAGCAACACAAATTTGCATGGTAATCACATTACTTTAAGGCATAACTAACACTATTTACTTAGTACACAACCAATAACAACCTTATATGACCCAAAATAATGATAAAATTTTGATCAAAAACCAAGACCACGACCATAACCACGACTATTTTGATACATATCTAACTCTATCATCTCATAACCAACATCACTATGCAAAAAAAAAAAAAAAAAAACCCAAAGGG